AGGGGGGGGGGCGCGAGCACTTCTGGGCTCGAGGCATTTCCTTGTTTGTCCGGTTGTCCCGACCGCATGTCGGTCGGGACGCGGGACAAACAAGGAAATATCGGGACGGTCCCGATAAAATCGGGACGTCTGGTCACCCTAGCAGGGACTCCCACAGGTTGAAGTTGTATCTGCTCAGTAAGGCCTGGTGGTTGGCTATGCGAAGCTGGAAGCTAGCCGACGAATAAAATTTTCTGCCAAAGGAGTCCAGTCTCCTGGTGTCTTTGTTTTTTGGGGTGGGCATGGGCTGGCCCTGACGCTTTCTGTAGTTTACCAATTCCACAACGAGCGAGTTGGGTGCCAGGTGTGAATATAGGTATTAATGGTCCTTCGCCGGCACAAAGTATTTCCTCTCGGCCTTTTTCGAGATTGGGGCCAAGGAGGCGTGAGTTTGCCACAAGGAGTTTGAAATGTTGGCAATATCCTGGTGCAGAGGCAGGGCCACGCGGCCTGGTGCTGAGGGAGACAGGACATTAAAGAGGGAATCGGACGGATCCTCCATCTCCTCGGCCTGCAGTTGGAGGTTGGAAGCCACCCGCTTTAGCAGGTCCTGGTGTGCCTGAAGTCCTCCTGCGAGACCGATGGCGGAGGTGCTGCTCTGGTGTCGTCCGGTACCGGAGAGAGGGCCCATACGGAGCTGGGCACCTCGGTCGGTGCCGGGGTGTTGATACCGAGGTCAGAGTCCTGGCGCGGGTCTGCCGACTCGTGACCTGCCGACTTGTCTTGTGGGAGGCCAGAGGAGGCCGATGGAGCCCAGGACACTCCGGCAACTGAACGGGCCTCTGCTTGGGCTGGCACCGATGGCCACGGTGCCCACTGGCACCACTGTTCTTGCCACAGAGTCCCTTGCCATTGGTTTGGCTGAGCACGGGATGGCAATACGTGCCCCAGTGGAACGGCGTGGGCAGAGGGTGGGTGGATGTGTGCCGAGGCCGAGATCGCTGAAGAACGCTTGGTGCTGCGGGAGCGGTAGGAGCGGCATCTGTGGCGTCGTCTCCACCAGGACCGGGATCTCAACGATGATGAACGGTACCCACACAATGAACTGCTTTGGGACGCGTGACGGCGACGCAAAGCTTGGTGCCCTGATGCCGAGGTACGTCGAGGGGAGCCTCTGGCATGGCACCTAGACGAGCGGGAGCTGGAACAGGAGCGGCCATTGGTTTGGCTGAGCACGGGATGGCAATATGTGCCCCGGTAAAATGGTGTGTGCCGAGGGTGGGTGGACGTGTGCCGAGGCTGAGGTCGCCGAAGAACGCTTGGTGCCACGGGAGCGGTAGGAGCGGCATCTGTGGCGTCATCTCCCCCGGGACCGGAATCTCGACGATGATGAACGGTACCCACACAACGAACTGCTTCGGGACGCGTGACAGCGATGCAATGCTCGGTGCCCTGACACCAAGGTACCCCGAGGGGAGCCTCTGGTGTGGCGCCTAGACGAGTGGGAGTGGGAACGGGAGCAGCGACATCTGTCCCGTCGAGAGTGTCCCCGCGACTCCCGTCCTGACGGCAGCCCAGATGGTCTGGCCGGCGTCTACGGTGGCCAGGAGCTGTTGGAAGAGCGACTGCTGTGCGCCGAGCGGTGCGGGGCGTGATCTTCGGAGCGGGAACTGCGGCTGCTCAGAGAGGTCCAGTGGGCACCCAAAGGGGGCTTGCCTCGCGACCTAGGGCCCGTGCCTGATTGCGAGCTCGGAACGGGCAGGGACATAATACCCTTCAGAGCCTGCACCGCCTCCAGCGTCGACGGCATCTGTACTGGTGGGGATGCCTGGGTCGACAGTACCAGGCTGCTCTGCTCCACATGAGTCAGAGCCTTAGAGCCTGGGCTAGATCGAGGGCTGCCCAGCGCGGGACCAGCCTCCCCCTTGTCCTTATCGCAGCGTTGTTGCGAGGCCGAGCTCTTCCCTTGCTTTTTGGAGGGAGAACGGGCGCCGACTGGTCGAAGGGGCTTTTCTATGTACCGACGACGCAGCAGCTGGTGCCGAGTCCGATCTGCGCACCGGCATTGGAGTCAGCGCTGACTCCATCAGGAGAGCTCAAAGTCTGAAGTCTCTCTCCTTCTTGATTCTTGGCTTGAACGACCTGCAGATCTTGCAACGGTCGCTGATGTGAGTCTCATCCAGGCAGCGAAGACACTCAGCGTGAGGGTCACTCCTGGGCATAGAACTGCAACAGGAGTCGCACAACTTGAAGCCTGGGGCATGGGGCATGCCCTAATCCCGTTCTACCCACTGAAGAACAATCTACAACGGTACCACTAAGGTCGAGAAGAAAGGCTACAGCAGAGCTGGAGCACAAAAGTTCCGACTACCTTCACTGGCGGCAAGAAGGAAATGAGGGTGGGGGGAGCCCGTAGCTCCCCTTATAGCGGGATATACAGGCACCACTCCAGGGGTCACTGCGGTGCTCCCCCAGTACGGGTACTGCTAAGGGAAAAATTTCCGGCACCGGCGCACATGACGAGCACACGCACCTACTGTGGAATACACAGGAGCAATCACTCGAAGAAGAATGTGCTCTGATTGAGGTAGGAGGTTATCTATCAGAGGTTAAATGTATACACTGCAAGATCCACTTTGAAAGGCGTTGTTTAGATAGGGCAGTGCCTCTGGATCTTTCGGTGGTGGAGAGGAATAAGTGTGGTGATTTTTGGAAAGGTTTAGTCCTAAGTAAAAGGCTAATGCTTGTCTCATGTCTAGGATGTGTAGAACTGCTTCCTGTTGGTTGCTGTGAGGTTTTGGGAAGAAACAAGGAAGTTGTATTGGTTGGTTGAGATGGAAAGATGTTGGGACCTTGGGTAGAAATCTTGGATGTGGGCATACCGTAACTTTGTCCTTATAAAACAACGTGCAAGGCGGATATGCCATAAAAGCCACAGTTTTACCAACTCACTGGGCATAAGGGATGGCAACAAGGCTGTTTTCATTGATAGGTGCACGTAAGAACAGGTTGCCATCGATTCAAATGGGGGGGGTCTAGTCAGGGAACGTAGAAGGATGAGGACAAGGTCCCAGGGAAGGGTCAGGTCTCAGATATGAGCATAAAGATTTTGAAGACCCTTCAGAAAATGTTTTGTAAGTGGATGTGCAAAGATGGAATGACCATGTATAGGGCAGTGAAAGTTAGTGATTGCCACCAAGTGTACCCGAATGGAGCCTGTGGATAATCCTGTCTATTTAAGGTATAGTCCAGGATAAGCGGTAGCAGAGTACATGCTGCATCAACTTGGTGGGAGGCACACCAGCTGTGAAATCTAGTCCATTTGTGCGCTTAAGTATGTCTGGTGGTGTCACACCTGCTATTCAAAAGCATCTATTTGATTGTGTCCAAATAGGTTACTTCTGAATCCATGGAGGAGCCAGGCTTTGATTTGGAGCATGTATGGCTTGCAATGGAGGATGCGTCCTGTGAAAGGAGCCGTGGTGTGAGATGGAGGAGATAAGTATACGTAAGGCTAATGTTGCTGGTGACTACGCCTGATGAGATTGGGCCTTTTGTAGACTAGTCCTGGAAGAATGCTGATGCTGCCTATGGAGTATGGGGAGTGGGAGAAGCAGTATTCCTGGAATGGCTTCCCAGTTTGGGGTGGAAAGAAGAAGTGAGCCCTAGTGCCCCATTCTCCTTTCTGTTGCCCATCTCCTTGTGAGGGGGCCAGGTGAGCTGGCAGCTTTTGTAGAAGTGGACAGCTGTCATCCAGGAGATGGACTGAGACCACCCACATTCAGCCCCTCTCTACAGCCATAGAAAAACAACTTGTGTTCATGCTCAGGCTGGTTCGGATTTTAACTGATGACCTAGAAGCAAAGGAGTCAGACAAGTCCAAATTCCCTGATCTATTCAGTCTCCCTAAATTTGGGTTATTTTAACGATATGTGAACGCTGTGCTATAATTAGGATAGGCATGGTGGTAAGAAATCAATACATTCTACAAATTTAAAAGTATCATAATAGTACTGGCAGGTTTTTCACAACGGTTGCTGAGGACCTGTTATTAGAACCATATGGACTGAGCTTATATTACTGCTGTCAGATTCCCCTTAATGAACAATAAGTAAGTAGATTCCTCTATGATAAATACCATATCTTCAAGAATACATACATCTTGAAATGGACAGATTTGTAGCTTGATAATGGTACATTACTGTGTATCTTATCTCGTCCTTGAAAACATGGACAAGCCTTAGGGACAAAGAGCTTAAGTCAAGGACAGCAACTTTCTTGATGTATCTATAGAAAAAACCCCACTTATAACTATAAGTAAAGTCATCTACATTTTCTCAAAATAAACCCAAATATATCAGTGCTATCTGGGATTTAAGAAGCAAGACTAAATGGGAGTCAACGTGTGTAAGGAGAGACCACAGCATGAGAGAAAAATAAAATAATTTAAAAAACTTAAGTCAGGATGTGAAAATGAGTATGTTTTAAGAGTAGGATACTTTCCTTTAAAAATATAAAAAGCAAATGAAACAAAAGCAAACAGCAAGAAAAGAGAACTTTCCTGGTTCATTGGTTTCATTATGTGCAGTGATTGGATTTCAGGAAGTATCTGGCACATACGCAGGGAAAATATAGAGAATTGGCTTTAATGAGACAAGAAAACACAATCAAGCATTTTAATTGCCAAAGTATTTCTTCTTTTGAATGTTTAGGCATTCTCTTGCTGTCAGGGTTCCCTCCCCACTCTGAACTCTAGGGGATAGATGTGGGGACCCACATGAAAGACGCCCTAAGCTTATTTCTAGCAGCTTAGTTTAAAAACTCCCGGAGGCACAAATTCTCCCTTGTACCTTGGATTAGGTAACGCTGCCACCACCAAGTGATTAGACAAAACTCAGGGAAAAGGACCACTCAGAGTTCCTACTTTCCCCTAATATTCCCCCAAGCCCTACACCCCCTTTCCTAGGGAGGCTTGAGAATAAACAAGATGAGCACAAACCAACCTTGGGTTTTTTTAGACCACTAAAAAAAAAAACACCAATCAGATAAAAAAAAAACACAACAGAACTTTATTAGAAAGAAAAAAGTTAAAAGAAGCACCTCTGTAAAATTAGAATGGAAGATAATCTCACAGGGCAGTCAGATTCAAAACACAGAGGATTTCCCTCTGGGCAAAACTTTAAAGTTACAAAAAGAAAACCAGGAATACACCTCCCTCTCAGCACAGAGAAAATCACAAGCCAAAATAAAAGTAAGCCAACGCATTCCCTTGCTAGTATTTAGTAATCCTAATGGAGTTGGATTGCTTGCTTTCTTGATCTGTCTCCGGCAAGCACACAGAACAGACAGACAAAACAAAGCCTTCCCCCCCCCCATCCCAGATTTGAAAGTATCTTGTCCCCTTATTGGTTCTTTTGGTCAGGTGCCACCTAGGTTACCTGAGCTTCTTAACCCTTTATAGGTAAAAGGATTTTGTTCCTCTGGCCAGGAGGGATTTTATAGTACTGTATACAGGAAGGTTGTTACCCTTCCCTTTATATTTATGACACTTGCCTATAGCATAACAAAGCTTTTGCTATGATCTCACCAGTGCTACTTCGTGTTTTAGCTGGAGTGCTTCCCCCCACAATAGTTCCTCTATAATAAAAAACAAAACTTGGAGCAGAAATTAAGATTTCACAAAAAGTCAGTCTTCATACAGAAAATGCAACTTCGCAAATGCTATTGTTCACTTTTTGTTGTCATCAATCTAAATGATGATCTCTCAGCATTTACCGCAAGCAGCTTATGCTTCTACCATGTCTGTCCAGGAACCATAATTCATCAAATACCCACTGGCTGTGCAGCACTGGCTTGAAGAAACTTGGTGAGTTGTCTCTTATGGCAGAATCTTGGCATGATTTTTTTTTAGGGCCATCATTTTTTTTTTTCTAGCAGCAATGGCAGGTAGCTTTCAACACTTTTTCATCCCCAGCACTAGCACGGAGCTTCCAGTCCAGTACCCGCATTGTGCTGGATATCAGTGGACTCTCTCAAAAATCCTCTAGTTTGCTATGAAGGTTGTGTAACTTCTATCCAGGCAGCTTGAAGAGGACATTTGATGGATTATCCACTGCCTCCCCAGCTCTAAAACTGTAAAAACTAATTTATTGCAACATTTTGCTCTGTAACTTTAGGACTAGAGCAGTGGTTCCCAAACTTTAACAACCCGTGAACCCCTTTCAATAAAATGTCAAGTCTCGTGAACCCCCTCCTAAAAATGACTATTTCCAGGGATTTTCTCCTTTACCTGAGTATAAATTATGAAAGCAGTGATCTTGGAAATATAAAATTTGTTTTATGACGTGCTTATTACACACTGTTTATTTTTAATTATTATTTATCATTACAGTATTTTTATTACGTTATGAAAACAGCAACACTCTTCCAAGATCTCACTTTCGTAGCTTGTATCACTTTGAATAAGCCTGTTATAAGACAAGGCTCCTATGTTTCATCAACGAGTATTAGCTGTGAAACAGCATGAAGGTATTTAAGAAGCCAACTCAGAGTTCCTCCTACACAAGCATTCAGGTCTTGAGCAGTCCAGGCAAACAGCGCACATTACAATAAAGCTTAAACTTGTTCTTCATAATAATTTTAAAAACAATACTAGCTGCCTATTTAATTTGAAAAACAGCAAAAAATATCCACCTCCCTTTCCATTTCTTATAAGGAGTCTTGAAGTTTAAATCTCCTCAGTGTGATAGATATGCTTGCTTTGATCTGCTTAGCTCTTGGAAGTCCAGGGGCTTCGGGCTGCTGGCCCCGTGCTGCCCAGGGTCTCTAGGGACAGCTCTGTCCGCCATTAGGGAATTTTTTCTTGAGAACCCCTTGTAACATTTTGTGAACCCCAGTTTGGGAACCACTGGACTAGAGTAATGGTCAGTCAACGATTACTCTGCAGAATTTTTTGGTAATCTTAAACCAAATATTCAATTTCTATACATAAAAAAAACCTTTCACTAGTTTAAAAATATCACAAATTGCTAAATCATGTAACACTTGATCAGCAAAAAAAAAAATGTAAATTATCTTTGTGTGAAATTGAGCTCTGAAAGAGCAGTTCCCTGTAAAGGGCTTATCAAATACTAGGTTAAGTATCCCTAAGGTCACGAACATATCCTGAGGTTGCAGTAACTTATGCACTTTCCTTTATCTTTTAATTGGTATAATTTAACCCATACTCTTTTGTTCATAAACTTGTTTTGCTTTCATTATAAAGCATCAGTGCTGTGTAAGTTCAGTAAAGTGTCTGCTTCTAGAAAGTTAACAGACTGGAGTGTTTTACTGTCTGCGTAATGGCAGAGAACCTAACACCCTCTCTCTGAGGGTCCAGTGAGAGGGACTGGTGGTTCTTGCAGAACAATTTTGGGGTGAATTCAGGGCTGGAAGGGTACTAAGGTCAGCTTGCAAGAACTAACCATGTTGGGCAAAGACTAGATGAGGCTTGTGGGCTGCAGATAGGCTGCTAGAGTCAGAGCTCTGGACCACAGCTACACAGACACAAGATATGCGGCAGATGGTGACCGAACCCCTTAACTGGCCTGGATGAACACTACCTACTTTAGAACGAAAGCTTCTCAGAACAGGGACTGACTCATATGTTCTGTACAGCCCCAGACATGGTGACTGTGCTGTAAGACATCAATAAAAGAAAGGATACTTGTAAAATTAATTTTTCTAATGATGTAATATATTAATTCTTCAAGATAATGAGAATTTAGTTTCTACAGACTTCTTTATGCAACAGAACACCATCTTTTAGTATGGCTCCTCTGGCAGTCTTACTGATTGAAAATATTCACTTAAAATAACCAATATGAGAACTTTCAATTGTAATAAAACCTAAATAAATCCAAACAATTTCAGCACTCAAAAAGCACTGAAGTGGAAAGGAAACTCGTTAATAAAAACCCCATGTGTTAATAATAATGAAACTGCAGTAGCCCAATAAAGAGGAAAATTAAAACTTTTATTGCATGCTTTGAAGTTAGTCCTAGGACATGTGGTGGTTGCAGATATTGAATTAAGAACCCTTCTGTTCTTAAGACATTAGATACTGACGCCAAGAGTGAAATCTGAAAAACACTTCAAGCTAAATGTTACCAATATTTAAAAAGTTGATCAGAATTATCAAAATTATGGCTGACTACATTACTTCCTCATTTTGACTTTATTCTAGGAGTCAGGTACTGTATCTAAACAGGGCATCAGTTCCCCTTGTAAATAATATTAGGGTCACTAGATGGCACTACTGCAGCTGGTATTACATGCTCTGTTTATCTGAATGTATAAATGCAAGCAACACCATCCCCCATTTTTGTCAATGGGTAGCTGAGATCTGCATCTGGATGAAAATCAGCTGACTAAAACCAAACCAAAACAAGGATGATGTTGGTAAGAAAAGGGAAATAATCTGAGGAACACCTTCACTCTAACAGTGCAATGTAGCCTAGCAGATAGCGCACTGGACTAGGATAAAGACGACCTAGTTTCTAGCTCTGGCACTGGCCTGCTGGTTGACATTAGGCAAGTCAATTCACCTCTCTGTGCCAGTTTCCCCATCTATTTAATTATCCCCATTTTACTTACCTCCTTTGTAAAACCCTTTGAGATCTAATGACGAAAAGAGCTAGATATTAATTTCTCTTACTATCAAATGTATCTGCCCCCACATTGCTAAATCAAAGAGCAGCCTCGGAGTTTTTAGAATCCTCAGTGCTGTTGCATCCTCAAACAGCCATGGTAGCAAAAAAGCAAAACAACCCCCCTCCCCCAAAATACCAAACCAACCTCACTTTCATCCATGACTGGCCAGAAGATTGCACTCATTTATCAGGCAGACATGGCCAGTGTAATCCATGCCTTTATGTTCTTCTGCTTGATTACTGCAACTCGTATCTAGGAATGAAGCCTCACACTGAAAAATCTCCAGTGATATAAAATGCAGCAGTCTATTAACAACTGTGACCATGAACATATCACTTTGTTGCTCTGCTCTCTTCACTTCCTTCCCATTGAATACAGGCTCCAGTTCAAGTTCTTTTTCTTGATATTGAAAGCCTTCACAGGACTGGCCCTACCCAGCAGAGAGAGACTCTTTCCTACCATCACCTCCCACAAATAGCTAGATTCTACTGGAACAATTCGTTGACCAATGTGGGAGATTCACAAGTGCAGGAGACACAACTTTCACAGAAACTGGACCTCTATCATGGCACTCAGTTGTAAAAGAACAATCAAGCTTGTGGAGATAAATGCAAAATTAATTCATTCAGTTTAGCTTTGCCACAATAAATTCATCACACGCCACACCCACTCTCCCACACCAACCTATAAACTAATCACGTTATTTCTCATACAGGCTGCCAAGGAAGAGTGATCATTATTTCCAATATTAAGTATAAGGAAAGTGCTCAAATACAGCAATGATGGGGGTGATGCAAGTACTCAAATAGAAGTGATAGTAATCTGAATTCTATTTCCAGTCATTGCTGCTTGGTGTGTGCTTCACAAACCGTATGAGATGTTTGTTGTAGTATCAAAGAGTTCTTTGTTCAAGCTAGTAACCTGCCACGGAGGGGCAAAAACTGAATGGCAGCAAATACTAAGCAAGCAAATCAGATAAAGGTCAGTATTTTTCTGTACTGTTTTGGGGAAGCAGGATGAAGAGAACTGAACTATTATTAATTGGCAAGTTAGTGGTGCAGGGGATTGCTGAAATATACGTACAGCTATTTGGGGGGGAAAAAGGGAATTGCCTTCACTTCTCATAAGCCCCATACATTTTCTTCACATCCTTAACTACGGTATATACAATATGGGTTATTCCGATGTAACATCTGTTAAAGATAGCAAAGATTTAACAAAGTCTAGTAAGAAAAACTGGTTTTCTACATTCCAGATCCTGACTCCAAAACACAACAGCAAAATAGTCAAACTTCTGCAAAACATCAGGATGACCATAGACAATGTTACACGTACTTTATGGAAGATACGTTTTGATATCAGAACTATTTTACTGTAATGTTTTCAATGAAACAGATTTTTATATAGATAACTATATAAACTGTATTGTAGAAGTTTGTTTGGGGAAAGCTGGAGATTTTGGCAACTGGCAAGGGAGCATTTATTATTTATACTATTTTTATTATGGTAGTACTTTGAATATGTCTACACAGCACTGTAAACCTAGGCTCAGACTCTGGTTTGAGCCCAAACCTCCCTACCATCCACACACAAAACCACCTGACTCAGGCTTAGCAAGCACTCAAGTCCTAGGACGCACCTGTGGGGGTGAGTTGAGGTCTGAGTGCTGCTGAGACTCTGGTCCAAGCCCTGTTATTTTACAGGTGGGTGCAACTCAAGCCCCAGACGTGAATCAGAAGGTCCACATAGTACAGCATGGATGCATTAGCATGGTTGAGAGACCTGTGTCCAGAAATTATAAACCCAGTTTACCATGCAGCGTGGGCATTCAATCATGGGCTTTAAAATACTGAATCCACAAGCATGGATCCACAATACAGCGCAGACCATTCAGAGGCCTCAGTCAAGGCCCTTTTTTCCCCTAAGTGCTGAACAACTGTCCCTATCATGGAAAACTTACACTCTTAAAAGAAAAAAAAAAAAAAGAGAAAGAGGAGGAATAGAACAGAAACAAACAGGCACGTCACGTTAGTTCCATTTTTTTTGCTCCCAAAGCCAAAATGTGGGGGAGCGGGGGGAAGGCAATAATAAAAATATGCACAATATTTATATATTTTATATATTAGCTGAATGTTTCTGATAAACCAATCAGCAGTGAAAGTTATTCATATTATTTAAAGTCATTTCTCAAGGGTCAGAATTAGTTCACCTTAAAGTGTGAACGGGAAGTTCACTACTCAGAGGAGTAGTTACAATCCATCTGCAGACTCAGCTCTGTATTTGTTTAGTCAACTCATTTTTTAGATTATCTTCTCAAACAAGCTTATATCTGGAGAACAATTCCACATCAAAGAGTGAACTTTGCAGCATGAAATCACAAAATACACAGGACCCTACCCATAAATAGCATCTCTACAGTCCCAAAGGATGAGCTGAAGAGTGTAGGGAAAGAGGCAACAGTCACCCACCCACAATAGTCTGTTGTGGTGCTGTACAAGCATTGAGACAAAGTATATCAGTAGAATCAAGGACAACCATGTGGTTTAATGTCACCATCATGGTTTCCAACATGCAAGTCCCCATCCATGTGCTGTCTTCACTTGTCTTTGTCCCCTCCTACTGCAGCTCAGCGTTTCTCTCCTCCATTTTTCTTCTGTGTACCTCTGAACCTCCAAAATGTGTAGGCTAAAGGCAACTGTTCACAAGTTATTTTGTGTATGTACAACTGTGGCCTTACAGCTGAAAATTATATACTTTTACAATTTCTTTATTGCAATAAGTGTACAGTATATGTAAGTTTAGTTTTATTCTAGTGTACTTTGCTTATATCTCAGTATTAAAATACTGAGCATTCATAATTCTTTTATCATTCACAGACATCCATTAGCTTGGACGTTACTCAAGAGTTAGATTTGCTCATTTAAATTCATAATGGACGCTACTCAGACATATCCCCTTATGTGGGGCTCACTCCCTCTGCTGGACTGCTGCATCACCATACTGACTAGGGTGATCAGACAGCAAGTGTGAAAAATCAGGACAGGAGATGGCGGGGTAATAGGAGCCTATATAAGAGACCCAAAAATCAGGACCGTCTCTGTAAAATCGGGACATCTGGTCACTCGAATACTGACCAAGATTTATCCTGCTTCCCAGAGCAAGAGCAGCTTTAGATTCACTGCTTTCTACAACAGAGCTTTGGAATGTGAACATTTCTTCTAGAAACTGCCCAGAACTTCAAATGAATTGGATTTTCAGTAAGTGGAACCTGTTGATAAACGATTTCAGGCAGCTTGAGAATTGTGCCTGCTGACAGCAGATATACCCTCCTTGATGAAGATCACAGAAATGAGAGATACAGAGAACAATGGACGAGATACTTAAAGCAGACTATGGAATGCAGGTGTAGCAACCTGTAGGGAACCTGGAAGAGCAGAGGTGGCAGAAGGGAAGACTTCAGAAGGGGCACTATTAAGTCAGTCTGTATGCTCATTGCTAGAATGGTAGCTGCAGTTGCAGCATCTCTGTAAATAGTTCTCTTAATAAAGAGCCAATTTAGTTTTAGAAATATGGGATCCTTTACAATGAATGGAAGATGATGTGTCCAAATCCCCACTGTTGGGATCTTACCCATTTCCCCAATAATTGAGGACTGCTCCCTACAATACATTTGCATTCTTTCCAGTCTAATTGAGCAAACTCAATTCACAGTGGAGTTTTCACTACTTTCCTTACAAAGATTATTCTAGTGAAAGATTAGGGAAGAAAATTCTGCTGTTCATCCTCAGTTTTCCACCCCCAGGGCTCCAGTGTTTGGCTAGCCTCTGTATACACAGCAATATATTTTCTTCAAACAATTTGTCTCATTCTTCTTGCCTTTCAGTTTCCTTTCTGGTAAAGAAGTACCCAGAACCGTTCACAGTATTATAGATGTGGTCACATCAAAGCATAAGTCGGACTATAACCATTCTGGCCCGTGACACAATTCTTCTCTTTATAAGTCAACCATCTTATGTTGCCTTCCTCACAGGACTGAGATAAGGCTTGATTATGTTATGTTTGTGAATGCTTTAAGATCTTCACATGATAAGCACCCTAAAAGCCCAAGGTAAATTATTCTCACAGATGTTTCACCCCTACCCACATCACCACCTTGGTCTTTTCTTGATTGATTTAAAGTGAACTAGCTTTTCTGAGGTGTTTGTGAAGGTTCAATTTTCTTCCCCAATCATGGATTTAATAACTTTTAGGATACTATATAGCAATTGTTAAACACTCCTTTTGAAAAAATTAAAACAAACTGACTTTTTCCTCTCCTTAGTCCATTATGAAAGCATAGTGTGCAAAATCTTTAGTTTTAAAATTCAGTGGCGACACATACTGTATTGGCCAAACTGTACAAAGGTAAAAGTATGAACATGTATTTTTAGCCACTGAAGAATTTTAGCCAGTGAAGCTTTTATCAAAGTCTATTAAAATTTCATTAGGTTGTTTATAAGAATGATTTCATTATTGTCCTTGTTAAATAAAACCTGACTGAAAAAGGCAAGAAATAGACTTTTCATCTTTTTACTCACTTTGTGTGCATGTTTAATGCAAGTTAATTACTGCCTGTCTTGATTATAGGACTTTGCTTTTTTAAAACAAAATACTAAAAAGCTATTTAAAATGTTGCATATACTATTTAATCTTAATTGAAATAAAACAAGAGGGGGGAGTTTTTGCATGCTATTTTAATGGTTAAGAACATTGCACTAGTTTGGCTTCAAATAACCAAAACACAAACAAGTGATAAAAGCACCGACTTTTTTTTTTTTTTTAACAAAACAATTTCAGGCATTGTAATGCATTTTTTAAGGAGCCACATGAGTTCCATGTAGGTTATTTATACATATTATGGCACTTTGATTCTTTTAACAGGTTATTTAGTTACCCAGGATAGGTAGGTACAAAATCCTTGGCTAAAATTCTCCATTCTAGCAAGAAAAAACTATTTGTCTACCCCCAACCTTTTTTTTTCCCCCTCTGAAAGTTTTCTGAAAAGATGCACCAAACTATGATTTCTGATACTTCATATTTGTTTTGTTGCCATTGACAAAGATGCCAAGTCAACTTTTAATTTAGATCCCTGGTAATTTATTAACAGTAACACACACACACACACACACACACACACCCCTCAACCACTACCATCAAAACAAAAACTGTCCTGCCCCTTATAATTTAATATTCTTCTGGAGGGCTGTTTCAATCTTAGAAGGAATTACACAAGCTATGAAAGAAGTCAAATTCGAGTAAAGGAGACAATTTAAAATGGCAGCATTTTCTCCAGGTAAAGCAATTATATGACATCCACTGGCCTGGTATCCAACCATACATTTTAATACACCGCATTTGTTATTTAAAAAGTAGCATATATATCAATCCAGAAATAAGAACAGTTAAAGGAACACAAATGACGTACATTAAAACAGGCCTGTATATTTTCATATAAATCCCACAGCCCTACCAACACTGTAGAGGGTTTCTATTGCTTTCATAATTCATCTGAACTACTATATATTGTGAGGCTTTTAATAGGAGCAGCCTTGGGGGAGAAAATTACAATTGGAAGGGAAAAGAAAGTTATGACAAGTAAAAAAAAATTCAAGCATTTTTAAAAAAAAAATCTTTACTTGCAAAATTAAGCCGCATGCTATTGTATGATTTATATTTAAATTTAAAAAGACTAATTAGACAAATAAAAATAAAACCCTAAAAATGGCAATTCTATAAATAATGAACATTTTGATTTCACTAGACTTTAATGAAAAACCATTTGGTAATTAAATACTTCCTACTGTCCATTAGGTTGATGAACTTTATTAGGGTTAAAACTATAACAAAGTTCATCCTAAAACATTTTGCAATGCAAAATTATTTTCTCTCAAGGAGTGTCTAAATAAATTGAATGCTATGAATGACAAGCAATCTTCAGAAGCTGACTCACATTCATAAAACTTTATACATCTTTTTAGAACTAAGAAATTTATACTACTAAAAAAAAAAAAATCAAACATGCATCACTTCCATACATTCTGATATCATGATTTATATTACATTATGTAACACCTTTCTTCTAAACAGCAGCAGTTTTATCATACATTTGCTCCATTTTCTTTGGATTTTTGATCTTTATCTTCATTCTTTACAATATCCTATAAAAAGGGGAGAAAAGGCAGTAGCGTAAGTTCTGTTAGCAGTATCCCTAAACTAAGCTGGAAACCAATTTAAAGGGCCTATAAACTTAAAATGAAAACAAGGTATACTGTTTTAACTTGTTAAAATATCAGGTGTGTTTTATGAAAACTATTATTTCTAAGCTGCAACACAATTCCTTTCTGAAAAATTAAGGGCCCACAGATTAAGCTAGGCACAAAATTAGGTCTATTTAAATTACCTGTTTTATATTCCCATGGATTTTTTTTTTTTTTATTTTTTAAGAAACCAAAACATCTAGAGCG